AAACTTAGGCTGGCGTGTGGCACCGCTGTCAAGTCAGTACACCAAATCATAAGTGTGTCTGTCAACCCTACTGAGGGCGATACCAAATTAAGCAAACTGAAAGGCGTGTTAAGCTGCACAAGCAGAATCGTTTTCATTCGCGCATGACCATTGTGGAACTGTCAGCTTCGCAGCCCAGGCACGTTGAGGGCTTGTCGAAGCCGTTCGAACGCCTCCTGTGATCCCCAAAACGTTGACATCCTCTCGGTCTTACATCCCATAACACTCCAACTCACCTACCCTCATTGTCAAAGAGGATAGACTCGCAGAAACTGCCTGGGGCGACTCCATAGTGTGCACCATGATGAGCAGTGAGGCTAGATTGGTCGGTTTAATGAAGCTAGATTTGCACACGGGACAAGGTCTCTTTGCTGAATGTTCAGGCTGATCAACCGTTGCGCACTAGCCATGCTAATGTGGGCTGATCAGTTCAGCATAGCTCCAAGGGGCCCTAGGCCCGGTGAGACCATTGGCCGTTGATTCCAAGTAAGTCACTGAAGTTCACTGGTTGTTGAATCTAAACTGGTGGTCAGTGTTGCTCACACTTATATACACTTGGTCCTGGTAATGAGCAGTCGCAGTGGCTTCAGGTCGCCAAGGTGAATGGACCGTGTAAAGTTTCAAGCCTAGTCCAAGCTTCTTGTCCTTACCTCTTGGGCCACAACAGCCTCGGACTATGTAGCGTAAATCGCTCAATGCCGGAATGCAAGAGCTGACCAACTCCTCCTTTTCGTAGAGATTGCAACCACCAAGTTCGTGAACATGCAGACCACTAGTGCATGGCAGTCGGCTGCCTGAATGAAGTACGAGACAGTGCAAATAGAATGTGAACGCCATTGAACACGACTCAACTGAACCTTGTTTCATTAAGTCATTCAGATTCGGAGCAATGTAGGGCTTGAGCAAACGACAATAGTATCGTGCTTTCAAGCAAACTATGGCTGTACTATACATATCATGTATATGAATGCATATACCTTTTGTCGCGGACCGGGGAGCTCTACTTCACACACTTCCTGGCAACCCTGATGAAGCATCGAGACAACAGTTAGACTGCCGCTTTTGCCAGCTCAGTTCTAGCAAATCGCACACTTCAGCTCACCGTCCACGTTCTCCCTGGGAGCACGGCAGCGCAGGGTGTTCGAAAATGTCAATGCAAAGCGGTGCGCAAATTCTTGCTCAGCTGAACAAAACTGAGGAAAAACGGATGCAGAAGGAAGTGCCCCCAAGCATAGTTGGTTGATTCAGTCTGAGAAACGCATCAAAAATACTCAGGGGTAGCACCAAAAAATAACGAACAATATCAGTTTGCACATCCAGGCAGGCACAGTGGATGGAGAGGATTTCTGGCCATTAGTTGATACAAAGTATTATACAGAAAAATACAGTATAATGATGATGCAAATAAGCATTAGTCACTGGTCACTGGTGAGCCAGCGCCCAGATACAAACACAAAAAATCTTGCAAACGTGAAGAGAGACTGGACCAAAAATAAGTGTGTTGGACTGGAATGGAAATTCACAGTTTCAAGTGTGCTCTACTTCATGAATGAGTTACATATGGACAAACAGTGTGATTTTCTTTCTTCTTTTTGATTCCTTTTTATGGACAAACCGCAATGACGCGGAATCTGAGATGGTTTGCAGATGGTCTGAGTACCCCGGCACCAGGCGAAGCCTACATGCACACGCGGTGAAATAGCGCCGGGAGCCCACGAGGTCCACCTGCGGCTGTCGCTTCCACCGAACGGAACGCACCAAGATGAGCTGATGGAATGGAGTGAGGTCGGAGTGATTTGGAGTAAAGGAGGGAAAAAGGGTAGGAAATACAATGGAGCGCTCATCATAGATCGTCACTTGTGTTCGCAGTGAAATTCACGGCCTCAAGCGGACACCATTCTTTGTGGCGCACATCCAGCCTGATGGACAGGGCAATGGTTTCAAGGTTTGATGTCTGTGACTACCATCGTGAAGAGAATTTAAACACCAAATGAGTGTGCTTTTTGGCCGACCTCCACGGAGTAGCAATGGCCTCCAACCTAATAGCAATGGCCTCCAACCAAATAGCAATGAGTGAATCGGCGGAATCTCACCAAGACTGGGTTACCACGCGCCGCCCTGGGCTTCCCCAAAATTGAACATTGTGCGCTATCGCTATCATCAGTGGTTCAGAGGCTTCAGCTATCACTCCACAAGTGCCTTGAAAGCGAAGCCACATAGTCCCCCTGCAACACGCAACCCAAAACACCGAGCGGAGGTCTAGGAGCAAATCAATATGGATCTTGCACCCAGAACTACGGCGTTTCATGCAATACTCGAGAAGGTGAAAGGTAAACGACTCCGAAGCCTGATCGTGCTGCCTCGTGACACCACTAGAGCCCCTAGAGCAGGATCTAAGACGTGAACAGCGAAACTCAAAACAAACCATGTTAGGCTCTCTCGTTAGGATGTGTTTCAATCGCTCTTTTAACACTGCCAACACGCCTGAGGCGGT